AGAAAAAATCCTTACACAATGATTAAAATAGTAAAAAAATAAATCCTTGTAATTATATTAAAATAGTAAAAAAGTCCTTGTGCAAGGTATTAAAATAAAGAAAAAAATCCTTTTGCAATTATTAAAATATTAAAAAAATCCCTGTAATTATATTAAAATAGTAAAAAAGTCCTTGTGCAAGGTATTAAAATAAAGAAAAAAATCCTTTTGCAATTATTAAAATATTAAAAAAATCCCTGTAATTATATTAAAATAGTAAAATATCTCTGTACAGGGTATTAAAATAGTAAAAAATATCCTTGTGCATGGTATTAAAATAAAGAAAAAAATTCCTTGTCCAGGGTATTAAAATAAAGAAAAAATCCTTGTGTAGGGTATTAAAATAAAGAAAAAAACCTCCTTGTGCAATGATTAAAAGAGTGTTAAAAAAATCCCTGTAATTATATTAAAATAGTAAAATATCTCTGTACAGGGTATTAAAATAGTAAAAAATATCCTTGTGCATGGTATTAAAATAAAGAAAAAAATTCCTTGTCCAGGGTATTAAAATAAAGAAAAAATCCTTGTGTAGGGTATTAAAATAAAGAAAAAAATCCTTATACAATGATTAAAATAGTAAAAAAATAAATCTCTGTAATTATATTAAAATAGTAAAAAAATCCTTTTGCAATGATTAAAATAGTGTTAAAAAAATCCCTGTAATTATATTAAAATAGTAAAATATCTTTGTACAGGGTAAAATAGTAAAAAAAATCCTTGTGCATGGTATTAAAATAAAGAAAAAAAATCCTTGTGCAATGATTAAAATAATAATAATAATAATAAATCCATGTAATTATATTAAAATATAAAATATCCTTGTACAGGGCATTAAAATAGTAAAAAAAATCCTTGTACAAGTTATTAAAATAGTAAAAAAATTGTTTACAGTATTAAAATAATTAAAAACTCCTTGTAGAAAATATTAAAATAATTAACAAACAATTGTGCAGGGTATTAAGAGTAAAAAAATCCCTGTAAGTATATTAAAATAGTAAAATATCCTCATACAGGGTATTAAATAGTAAAAAGAGTCTTTGTACAGGGTATTAATTTAGTAAAAAATCCTTTTGTGGGGTATTAAAACAGTAAAATAATTGTGCAGGGTATTAAAAGAGTAAAAAAATGCTTGTAAGTATGATAAAATAGTAAAATATCCTTGTACAGTGTATTGAAATAATAATAATTTTAAAATCCTTGTACAGGGTATGAAAACAGTAAAAAAAATCTTAGTACAGAGTATTAATGTAGTAAAAAAAATGTTTGTGCAGGTTATTAATAATAATAAAATAATCCTTGTATAGGGTATTAAAACAGTAAAAAATTCCTTTCTCTGAGAATAATAATAGTAATAATAGTAGTAATAGTAATAGTAATGATGATGATAATAATAATAATAATAATAATAATATCATCCTTGTAGAGGGTAATAAAATATTAAGAAAGTCCTTGTATGGGGGTATTAAAATAGTTAAAAAATAATTGTTCTGGGTTTTAAAATACTTCCAAAAATAACTGTACAGGGTCTTAATAATAAAAAAATTTGTTCTGGGTATTAAAATAATAATAAAAAAGGAATTATGCAGGATATTCAAACAGTGCCAAGGACCTGCAAGGCCTGAGGCTCAGCCTGTGCTCTGGGGAAATTTCCAGATTAATGAGCAGCAAAAGTGGATCCCCCTGCACAGCAGGGCCTGGGATGGGGCAGGACACTGCCAGGAAAAGGGTAGAGTGTTTAAAATGTGGATTTTAACAAGGAATCAGCCTGGGATAGGAGAAGAAGGAAAAGAAAGTCTCTGGCAGGATGATTATAATGTGAATTTCTAGCAGGATCAGCCTGGGATAGGAAAAGAAGGGAATTGGCAGAGTGTTTAAAATTTGGATTTCTAAAAGGAATCAGCCTGGAATAGGAGAAGAAGGAAAAGGGACCTGGCAGGATGTTTATAATGTGAATTTCTAAACAGGATCAGCCTGGGACAGGAAAAGAAATGATCTGGCAGGATATTTATAAAGTGAATTCCTAAAAAGGATCAGCCTGGGATAGGAGAAGAAGGAAAAGAAATTATCTGGCAGGATGATTATAAATTGAATTTCTAAACAGGATCAGCCTGGGATAGAGAAGGAGGAAAAGGGAACTGGCATGATGTTTATAATGTGAATTTCTAAAAAGGATTAGCCTGGGATAGGAAAAGAAGGGAATTGGCAGAGTGTTTAAAATCTGGATTTTTAAAAGGGACCAGCCTGGGATAGGAGAAGAAGGAAAAGAAGGGATCTGGGAGGATGATTATAATGTGAATTCCTAAAAAGGATCAGCCTGGGACAGGAAAAGAAAGTCTCTGGCAGGATGTTTATAATGTGAATTTCTAAACAGGATCAGCCTGGGATAGGAGAAGAAGGAAAAGGGATCTGGGAGAATGATTATAATGTGAATTCCTAAAAAGGATCAGCCTGGGGCCTCTCCTGGCAGCCCCAGGGGGGGATGCTGAGGCACTGAAGGCATTTCTGTGGGAACTCCTGTGGTTTGTCCCTTTCCCAGCAGGATCTGAGTTCCAGGGAGCAGGAAAGCCAGGCTGAGGTGTGCTCGTGTCTGGAGCTGGCTGCACTGGATCCATTTGGGTTTTTGGAAAAGTAACCCTCATTAACCTCATTAGCCTTGTTGTGACTGCAGAGAAAGTGGAGCTTTAATTGAAACCTCAGATTTCATCTTTCTAAAATCACTTTTTTAAAGCTGCTTGCTTTAATTACCACCCTTTGTTTGATTTATTGCCCTTGGAGAGCTGCTGAGTGAGTTTGGAGGGAAGGGGAAGTCAAGGGTGGCTGCAATGGCAGAATGTCAGGATTGCTGGTGAGAAGCTGCAGCTCCCACTGGCATGGAAAGATTGCCCAAAATTTATTTAAAAACAACAACCAAACACCCAACCAAGAGCTGCAGCTGCTTTACCTCACTTGAAGGGGTATTGGAGTGGTAATTTATTTCTTTTCCCCCACAGAAATAAGGGGTTTTTGAAACATTCTCTTTGTTTAGTGTCGTCTCAAGGAAGCCCAGGATGGAATATCCAGGTGTAGCAGCTCCTGCTGTGGGTTCTGGGCTGGAACAATTTGTTGGCTCTGGGGTTTCTAACAGGGAGCTAAACCTGGTGTTTTGTGTTTTTTTCCAGTTCCTGAGGGACCCTGGCTTGTCTGGCTTGGAGCTGTACAGTCCTGCTGAGGAGGAGCCCCAGGCCCTGGTGCTTGGAGAAGGAAGTGGCCTGGAGGGTGAGGATCCTTCACCTGAGACCTCCAGGGACAGGGGGGACACTGAGGCGACACCCCAGTGAGTGTCACCTGCCCCAGGACTGGCCAGAGGCTGCTCCCATGGCTGCTGGCAGGACAGCCCTGAACAGAGATCCTGGGATCACAGGATAATCCTGAACAGAGATCCTGGGATCACAGGACAGCCCTGAACACAGATCCTGGGATCACAGGACAGCCCTGAACAGAGATCCTGGGATCACAGGATAATCCTGAACACAGATCCTGGGATCACAGGACAGCCCTGAACACAGATCCTGGGATCACAGGACAGCCCTGAACACAGATCCTGGGATCACAGGACAGCCCTGAACAGAGATCCTGGGATCACAGGACAGCCCTGAACACAGATCCTGGGATCACAGGATGATCCTGAGCACAGATCCTGGGATCACAGGACAGCCCTGAACACAAATCCTGGGATCACAGGATGATCCTGAGCACAGATCCTGGGATCACAGGATAATCCTGAACACAGATCCTGATGCTCCAGGGGCCTCTGCCCAGCTCCCCCGACTCCTTGCTCTGCCAAAGGCACTGGGAAGAGGGAGTGTGGAAGGGAAAGGAAAGGAACACTAAACTGCCTGAAGACAGGTGGATAAAAGGGGTAAATTCCCACTCCAGCTTGGAGGAATAATAGCACTTTATTGATGTGGGATAACCTGGGACTTTTCAGGGAGCGAAGAGTTGCAGTGTAAATTCCATTTCTGCTGGTTTTGCAATAATACTCCCATTCTACCCACTCCAGACTGCTTTCCTGAATCATTTCAAGTGCAGCACAAACTAAAAAGAAATTTGTAGGTACTTTCCTTGGGATGAGCCTGTGCCAAGAACCCCTCCCAGAGAGGTCTGCTCATATCTGCCTCCTGCCAGCCTCCTGGGAGCATTAATCTGCTCCTGCGGCCAGCCCAGGGCCCTGCACACCACAAAGGACCTGAGAAGAATTTTGCTCCGAGTTTTTTACAGCCTGTATCAGTCACTGTCACACACTAAAAGCTCCTGTTGACACCAGCAGGACTTGACTCAGAGTTTTCTGGTTTTAGTGCCTTAAAGCAGAAGAGCCCAAGTTAAACCCCACATCACCCCCAGTGGGGTCTGGAGTGTCCAATAAAGCACAAAGAACAAATGAACCTCTTCTGTAGTAAAAAGATGGAGTTGTTTGGTTTGTTTATTTGGGTTTTTTTTCCTGGGTTTGATACCAGAAAATTGATATGAATTGTTTAAAAAAAAAAGCAGTAAGAAATGTGGTTTTTTTTGTTTGGTAGTGGCTGGTTGGAAGGCCCTGGCAAAGTTGGTGCCACTGTCTCAGCCTTTCCAGCAGCTGCCAAAAGCCTCATCAGGTTCCTTAAAACAGATCTCATCCCTTGGGATCAGCCAGGCTGCTGACAGGGGAGTTTCAGGGAAGGCTGACTCATGTGGGAATGGTCACATCAGCACCAGGCCTGCTTGAATCACCCACACTCTGAGGCTGGGCTGGGAACAAAGGGCACAGCTCACAAAAAGGAACAACCAAACTCACCCAGAAATAAGGTTAAAAGCTCCTGGGAGTATCTGTGTGTATTCCTGAATAAACCCTGGACTGCTGTCCTGTGTGCATTCCTGAATAAACACTGTCCTGGATTGGCTTGTTAAATATTTTTACACAAACAATTAAAAAGCGTTTTCTGGGAGTAACTCCAGGGTTGTTGTCACTGAGCCCTCCCTGTCCCCTTGGCTTGTGCCAAGTGTAAAGTGTCCCCTGCCACTGGCAGCCATTCCCTGGCTCCTGGCCCTGCAGCCCTTGGCCCCAGTCCCTCTCCAGCTCTCCTGGAGCCCCTTCAGGCCCTGCAAGGGGCTCTGAGCTCTCCCTGGAGCTTCTCCTGTCCTGGTGAACATTCCTGGCTCTCCCAGCCTGGCTTGCATGTTCAAGTTCCAAGTCCAGGCACAAGATGCTGGCACTGGGAGTTGTTACAGGATTAGTTCCAGGCCACGCTCCTTCCTGACTTCCTAAAGAATCCAACAAACATTCCCAAGCTCCTGGGCAGGAAAAGCTGCCAGGCCTGAAGACAAAGCCTGGTTTTACTGGGTGGTGCAAGCCTTGTGCCAAGGTGAGTTCCTGTACAATTTCCCTGGGAATTCACTGTTTTGGGCACCCGAGTTCACTTTTATTGCAGCTTTCTGGAATTCCAGCCAGGGGGATGGGGTTACTGCAGCCAGGACAGCTCCAGAGCTCCTGCCCCTGCAGCAATTCCCACCTGGAGAAGGTGACAAAGAGCTTCCAGTCACCAGCACTGCATTTCCACTCAGCTCTGACACCACTGAGGCAGCAGCCTTGATTTGGGAAGCTGTAAAAGCCTTGGGACCCAGGGGAGAGGCAAATGCTGTAAAAACCACAGAGAACTCGTGAGAAGGACTCACCCCCAGCAAATGGATCTACAGGAACACTCCAGGGATAAGAAACATCCTCAGCCTCACTTTCTGTTTCACTCCACTGAGATGAAACTTGGATTTCAATAATTCATTAATGGAAACAGCCATAAAATGTAAGAGATAAATACATTTTAACTGGGGCAACAGCAGCCCTAAAACTGGGTGTGAGTCACTGCTAGAATTTATTGAAAATTGAAATTATTACAAGGTTGAGCAATAAATCCATCTATACCCCACTACCTTTTAAGCAGAGAGGGAAGAGGTCAGGAGAACTCAATTTATCAGCAAACAGCTTCCCCTGGAGACACTGACACTTGCACCAGCAGCAAGACATTGCTCTGACTCATTTATTCTTTATATCGAGTACAACTGGCAACAGTTTGTTGGAGGTTTTTGTTTTTTTATTATTATTATTCTAATATCAGGAAATACATTAAATACCAACTGGTATCTCTTACACTGAGCAGCATGAAATTAATCCCAAGGACTGTGGTGCCAGCAAATGTCCTTTGTGCCAGAGCCATCACAAGTCAGGAATACTTTGCTTTGCCATGCACAACCTGCTGAGTGTAGGACTCGCTTAAAAACCCATAACCTTTTACCAAAAGAAGGAAAAAAAAAAACAAGAAGCTACTTTATATTTACCTGAACAATAATATAAAATTCTTAAAATCAGCTCTTATCCCAGCCCCTGCTCCAGGGATGGGCTCTGTCCTGTTTGCTCACTACTTGTTGGCTGAAGCCTCGGACACGGGGAGGTTTGGAAGATGGAAAACCGTGGATTTGAAGGAGAAAGCCTGGAGATGTCAGCAGGAAAGCCTGGCAGCCTGCCATTCCCTTTGAAATGATAGATCCAGTCCTATGTACATATTCACAAGTGTGTCCTGGGAAAAGAGGAGCTTCGGACAGAGCCTGGAATTGTCTCAGTTCCACCAGTTTGGGAAGCAAACCAAGGACAAAGGACTGTGAATTATCTACGTACAAGAACCATGTGGCAACTATGCTAACCACAGGCCAGCAGTGAGCTCAGCCCCACAGCTCTTCTGTTCTCCCAAACTTGTAGATCAGAGTGCTGGGGGGAGAAAATACAAGAAATAAAATAAAAATCAGACCACACACAAGGTAATTTTAACAGTATCCTTAAATCTTATCCCGTGCAAGTCACCAGCCCAGCCCTGAACTTTTGGTCACATCAGGATTTGGGTTTGGTGTTTGTGTTTGGTTTCTTGTGCATGGCTGGAACTGTGGGAGTAAACTGAAGCTCAGACAAAAAACCCATCCAGTTTCACAGCCCTTCTGAAGGAAAAGCCTGGGATTTATGAAATTCAAGGAGTCCAGAGCAGCAAGTCTCACTCTGGCACCTGGGAATCAGCTCAACATGACAGGATGTGCTGGGATGAAACCTAAACAATTCCATTTTTGTGAACAATCAGAAAGAATATTAAGCCTGTGGTAAAGAATCAGATCCATATTACAATTTGATTTCCAAAATTCCACGTTTTGGCTGCCCCATCCCTGGCAGTGTCCCAGGCCAGGCTGGCCAGGGTTTGGAGCCACCAGGGATAGTGGAAGTTGTCCCTGCCCAGGTGACACTGGGTGGGATTTAAGGTCCCTTCCAACCCAAACCTGGGATTCTGAATAAGGCTAAAAATTTCAGGCACAAAATCTGCCTTCTGCAGTTTCCCTTTTCAATCCCAGAGGGGATTTAGGAGCTGCTGTTCCCTGCAGGAAGATCCTTCATTTCCCAGATCCCATTGATCCAGGTCACTGCAAAGCATCTGGTGTGGGGCTGGAAGGAAAAGGATCAGCCAGGAACTGGAAGAAGGAGCTGAGATGAAACTTTTCAGTGACTGATCTCAGAACTGACACTGTTCAACACTTTCAGTGCCTTTCATTAATAAAATCCATGGGTTGCAAAATGCATTCCACAGCTAAAAACAGTTATTAGGGACTCCAAATTGATTTTCAACTGTTACACAATAGATTTAATAATATTATTTGAAATAAATCCAGTGTGCTGTTACAAAACACAGCAGCATGCTCCTACAAAAAGGAAGTACCACTCTTTCTAACTGTGAGCTCAGGCAGCGAAAGGAAAACCAGGGAATATCAAATACCAGAGAACTGAGGCATTGGTGTGAAATAGTCTGGAACAGGAGAATTGAATCCCCCAGCTGGCTTTGCTGGGAGGGAAGCCAAGGGACTGGAGGACAGAGGTGAATGATTGCCATTTTCCAAAGACACTGGCAATCCCTTATCCAGAAAACTCTGCGCATCCCTGGCCATCCACATTCCAGAGCTGTTCATCCAAGGGGAGCAGAGACAGCTGGACCAACAGGAGTGTGGGGGAGCCAAGAGCCTGGGCAAATCAAACCTTGTTTCTAAGCTCTGCAGCTAAGGGAGGAGAAAACAGAGCTGCCCTTCCTGGAGTATCAATGTGTGGAAGCAGGAAAGTCCCTTTGGAAGGAGGGGAATTTTCCCAGGTAACTTACCTGAAAAATATTAATGCATTCTGGAAAAACACTGCTAATCCAGGGTACACATTAGTGTCTGCAGAGGAGGAACACAGGAAACACTCAGTTCTTTAGTCATGGCAGGTGGGTTTAACAGGATATTCCAGTTACTGGGAGCTGAGTTTAACAGGATATTCCAGTTACTGGGTTTAACAGGATATTCCAGTTACTGGGAGCTGGGTTTAACAGGATATTCCAGTTACTGGGTTTAACAGGATATTCCAGTTACTGGGAGCTGGGTTTAACAGGATATTCCAGTTACTGGGAGCTGGGTTTAATAGAATATTCCAGTATCAATCTCAGACTAAAACCTTGATGCTGTGGCTTGGATTTTGCATAGACCACAGGCTTCCATCCCTGTGGATTTCCTGCCAAAAGCTGACAGGAAAAGCACTTTCCTGGAGGAGAAGATACCCAAACTTACTCTGTGTGACATATGCTCCAAAGAGAATCCACATGGAAGCAATGAGGGATCCAAACATCAACATGAAGCCGATGAAGAGCCAGATCCGGGCCCCTGCAGGGGAGAGTGAAATGTGGATTTTATCCTCAGGGCCAGGCAATCCAGCTGCTCCTCTGGGAGGATGGAATACATGATCTCAGTAAGGGCATGAATTGAAAGGGTTAAACCCAAGGATCAAGGACAAAATCCACTTCTCAGTCACTGGGAAGGAAAAATTCCTGTGCAAACGTTCTCAGGAGCTGGATCATGAATGACACACAAAAAAAGCACCACAGGCCACTTCAAATAGCAGTTAACTCCCTCCACATGTACAAATCCTATGGAAAAGGCTGCTGGGATCCATGTGGGAAATAGGGAATTATGAATGGAAGCAGAGAGGACAGCAGGTCCAGGGACACCCAGAGCAGTGACACAGAGGAAATGGAAATGTTTCTGACACATCCCTAGGGAATTCCTGCTCCAGAGCTATCCCCAGGCAGGAACTGATTTCTCCCAGCAGCTATCCAGCTTTTGCAGGGAAGGTTTAGGAAGCCAAGACATCCAGAAGCTGAATTTCACCAAGTTCCCTTTTTAACAAAGCCAGCACTTATCTCTAAGGGTTAATTCTGTAAAGAAATTAATTCACAGAAATTCTCTCCTACTCCTTATCTTCTGATTATTTCTTTCACCTCCACTTGGAAAAATCCCCAGAGATAAATGATCAGTCCTTCACCTGAGCAGGATTTGTAGAGTTCATTTACCTGTTCTTCCTAAGCATCCATCACTGTAGCTGTCTCCTCTCACCTGTGCATTTGATACAGCATTTATCCTGGGGACAAAAAAAGGAGATTCACTTCAGCCTACAGAAAATCAATGGAGAGTTCCAAGTAAAACCCCAGGTTTTTATTTTTTTTTTTAACATGTGACAAATTCTGGGGAAATTCCCTGGCAATCTGTGTAGTAGTCACAAATCCCAAATCATCCTTTTTCCTTGCCAATATTGAATGATTCAATAAAAGCTCTTTTATTTACATCTCTACAAAGAAAGCCAGGCTATTGTTACCCCTCCCGTTTGAGGAAGTTTTGGGCAAGGAAGAGCTGTAAAAATTGCAAAAACTGAGGGAAATGCAGTTAAATTGTTTCATATTGAGGTCAGTGCTGGATTCTCCATCCCTGGCAGTGCCCAAGGCCAGGCTGGACAGGGCTTGGAGCAGCCTGGGACAGTGGGAGGTGACACTGGATGGGCTTTGAGGTCCCTCCCAAGCCAAACCATTCCCTGATTCTCTGATTTATCCATGCTGGACACACTGTCAGCAGAGGCTGGTTTGGTTTGTGGTGTTTATTGGTGAGGGCTCCCTGTCTCCAACACTCACATGAAGAAGGCCAGCGTGGAGAAGACCCCGCAGGTGTGGAAGGCGTGGTTCAGCTGCTCCGGCTTGGGATAAACCACGGCAGCATCGATCATGATCCACCAGCCTGTGAAAAACTGGGCACAGACACAGGGGGTGAGCCTGGGGGCACAGGACAGGCAGGGAAACCAGGCCAGGGCTCTGGGCAGCACTGGCTTAACTGGCTTCTAACCAGCACCAGATCTTCTGGAAAGTGGTTTAAATGTGTTGGACGGGCAGTGCCTGCACAAATCTCAACGTCCCTGTTTCCAGAGGAGTGTTTGGGAATCAGCCACAATTTCTGCTCAAATCAAGGTGTGGGGTATGGATAAATTTATACCCAGAGCAGCTGGGGCTGCCCCTGGATCCCTGGCAGTGCCCAAGGCCAGGCTGGACATTGGGAGCTCCTGGGACAGTGGGAGGTGTCCCTGCCATGGCAGGGGTGGCTCTGGGTGGGCTCTGAGGTCCTTTCCAACACAAACCCTTCTGGGATTCTGTGAAATTCCCAGTTCCTTGTTCCCCATTAAGAACAAGAATCCAGACTAAACACACATGAGATGGAGATGATGCAGAACAGAGCAGTTCTAACAGATCCAACTCTGCAGGACATCCACGAGGAACTATTTTTCAAGAAGAGAGAGCAGAAATGGTTCGTGATCAGCAACATCACGGCACTTGTGAAAACGCTGCTGACAACCCCACAGTGCCCCCTGGAAGCAGAGGCTGGATTTTGGGCTGGATTTGGGGAAGTTAAGAGGAAGAACTGACAGAACTTGAGGCACAAGTGTGCCTCTGTGTGTGTCCCCAGCCCGCTGTCTCCCGGCTCACCAGCACCCCGGCCACGATGGAGGCGATGGCGTTGCGGCGCTCGCTCCAGTCGATGCACTCGCACTCGGGCCAGCGGAAATTGTCCAGGAACCCTGCCATGGCCACGGCTCTGGCTGCCCAGGCAGTGCTCTCACTGCTCTGGCCACGGCTCTGGCTGCCCAGGCAGTGCTCTCACTGCCCAGGCCACAGCTCAGGCTGCCCTGGCCACGGCTGTTGCGGCCCCGGCCACGGCTGTCGCGGCCCCGCTGCCTCGGCGCTCGCTCCTGGGCTCTTCCATCAACAGCCGCTCCTGAGTGCCTGAAACACAGCCAAGGGGGAGGTCAGCATCAGCCAGGAACATCTCGAGGTGTTGGACAACTCTCCTGAGTTACAGTCTGGGGGTTTTTACAGAATCCAGGTTTTTATACAGAGCCTTCTGATGGAATCTGCCCCGCCCGCAAGATTTGTTTTAGATTGTTTTAAAGCCCTCCCAAAACATTCCATGATAAACCATTCCATAATTCCATCTACTGATGCTGCATTGAGCTATGTCAGTAAACAGCCTCCCTTACACAGAGCTACAAAACAAAACCACCACACAACCTAAAATCTTATGGCAGAACTTAGTCTTTAAGCCATGTCAAGGAGCCATGTCAAGCCATGTCAATTAAATACTAATATTTACTAATATACTAATAGTCTCCAATCTGACAGATAAAATGATTTAGTGCCTTTTTTAACACAGAGAAAAAGAGCCCAACTCAGCAAATCAACTGGTTCTGAGGGTAAAGAAGGTCTTGCTGCACAGGCAGAAGGTCACAGGGAACTTCAAATATGGGAAGAGTAAAGTAAAGTTAATTAACTGACTCACAACTGCTCTTAGCACCATTCTAATTTGGTTTAGTATTGTCAATTCTGCATTTCCCAGCCTGCCATAATTCATTTCCAGCCATTTGGTAAAGACTAACAAAAAGGTCCTCCACGACTGTGTGACAGCACAGACTGATGGAGAACATTTTCTGGTTGACAACAGCAGTGAGAGGAAGTGGAATAAAAATCAATAAATAAACAGTTTGTCTATGCCACAAACACAGGACACCTCCTGTGGAAAAGATGAAGAAGTTTGTCCTCCAGAACCAAGTCCCAGAAACCCACACTTGTGATGCCACTTCAGATATTAAAATCAATCAATCAATTCCCAAATTACTTTAATCTGTAACTTTAATCTGGGCTCAGCCACCTGGTTATTCTCCTCAGTGACACCTTTCCCTGGCAATGGTCACATCCCTGCTTGTCCCACAGCTTTCTCAAGGAATCACAGGGCACAACTCCAGGATCAGGGTGGGAAAAGCCCTCTGAGATCATCCAGTCCCACCCAGCACCAGCCCCAAACCCTGTCCCCAAGGGCCACCTCCAGACACCTCTGGGACACCACCAGGGACAGGGACCCCACCACGGCTCTGGGCATCTCTTTCCAAGTTCTGACCGCTCTGGCAGGGAAATTTCCTTTTTAATCTCTAACCTGAGCCTCCCCTGGCCCAGCCTGAGGCCGTTCCCTCTCCTCCTGTCCCTGTTCCCTGGCAGCAGAGCCCGACCCCCCCGGCTGTCCCCTCCTGCCAGGGACTTGTGCAGAGCCACAAGGGCCCCCTGAGCCTCCTTTGCTCCAGGCTGAGCCCCTTTCCCAGCTCCCTCAGCCCCTCCTGGGGCTCCAGACCCTTCCTCAGCTCCCTGGGCTGAATTACAACTGCTCCTAAAGCTCTTCCTCATTTTCCACTCTTAAACAGCTCCACTTTCTCTGCTCCTCTTCAGAGCAGAGCTGGGTCTGTTCCTGTCCTGCAGCAATTCCTGCTTTCCCCTCCCAGTTCCTCACCCACCCACACTGTTCCTGTTGCTGTCCCCACTGTGGAGCTGAGGGGCCTTGCCTGGGAGTGGCTGCAGGCAAACAGGGAATCCTGGAATGCTTTGGTTTGGACTCAAATCCCACCCGGTGCCACCCCTGCCATGGCAGGGACACCTCCCACTGTCCCAGGAGCTCCCAATGTCCAGCCTGGCCTTGGGCACTGCCAGGGATCCAGGGACAGCCCCAGCTGCTCTGGGCACCCTGAACACAGCACAGGGACAGCACAAGGGACCTCGGCAGAAAATCCCCGTGGGAAAAAATGGCCATGAGGTGACAATGGACACGGGCAGCCAGAGAGCCAGGGGTGTGCTGGGCCGGGGAACAAGAAGCAGGAAAGGGATTGGGATTGTGCCCTGAGCCCCCTGAGGTGAGACCCCACCTGCAGAGCTGCCCCAGCCCTGGGCCCAGCCCAGGGAGCAGCTGGAGCTGCTGGAGAGAGCCCAGAGGAGGCTCCAGGATGAGCAGAGGGATGGAGCAGCTCTGCTGGCAGGAAAGGCTGGCCCAGCTGCCATTGTTCAGCCTGGCCAGGAGAAGCTTTGGGCTGAGCTCAGGGTGGCCTTGCAGGGCCTGAAGGAGCCCCAGGAAAGCTGGAGAGAGACAATTGCCAAGGGCTGCAGGGCCAGGAGCCAGGGAATGGCTGCCAGTGGCAGAGGGCAGGGCTGGATCTTGGGATCTTGGGCAGGAATTGTTCCCTGGCAGGGTGGGCAGGGGCTGGGATGGAATTGCCAGAGCAGCTGGGGCTGCCCCTGGATCCCTGGCAGTGCCCAAGGCCAGGCTGGACATTGGGAGCTCCTGGGACAGTGGGAGGTGTCCCTGCCATGGCTGGGGGGCTCTGGGTGGGCTCTGAGGTCCTTCCCAACCCAAACATCCCATGATCCGAAATGCTCAACACCCTAGAAAAACAGCAAGAAACCAATAAACTGCATTTAAATGAACCAGCCCCAGTGCAAAGCTGAGGCTCCACAGACAGCACAAGCCAGGCTGAAGTTTGTCCCCACGAGGATTAACAGGGACAGCCCAGGATCCTCGGGCTGCACACACACCTCTGGTGGAAGCAGACGCTTCCAGCTGGAATTTCCCACCTGGGTAAAGGTGCAGAACTCACTCTCTGCTTTAAACTCTTCCACCCACACACCTCCCAGGGAGGAAACAGGTAAAGCCCTTGGCGCTCCCAGTCCTTCAACGCCCTTCCCACCATCAGCCTCCTCCCCTTTCCCAAGGACAGCCAAGAACATTCCTCACTCATGTCCAGCGAACAAAAACACATCTGCAGGCACAAACTGGAGACTCTGAACAAAGTGAGCACAACTGGAGCTGTAAAATCCACCCCTGGCAGATGCCAGCATTGACACTAACCCCACTGGTCTGTCATGCAGGCAGAAAACACAACAGCAGCTCCACACTTTCACCTGAAAAATCAGATTTTCTTTCCCAAATGAACTGACTTCACTTGAACAAAATACTGAAAGCAATCAAGGAAGTACAAAAAGTCTGCAGGAAGAAAAATGCCTTAATGTGGAATATCATTGGGTTAGTAAAGAACAGAACCATCTGTTTCAAAGAGGAGAGGAAAAGACAGAAGGAAAAAGGGAAGTTGGTAATGAAAAATATTGAAGTTTTCATTGAAGAAGGTGCATCTTCCACAAGCAACTCATCAGAATATCCTTTAGGTCACACATGCCCCCACATGCATAGAGGATGAAAAGTAAATCAGGAGCTTATGTGAACATTTCTGCTATCCCCACTATAATTTTCCCACTTATTTCAGCGATTTCCTGCAGTTTCAGTTCTCCCTAATCCATAACACTGGGCTCTGCTGTCTAATTAAGTACTACAGAAAGACAAGAGCAAATAAACGAGGTTTAAATGAATTTATACAAAAACAAGGCCGTGTGAAAAACTTATTAAAAAGCGATATTGGAGAAATTTCCATTCCTTACAAGGCTCCATCCCTGGCAGTGCCCAAGGCCAGGCTGGACATTGGGAGCTCCTGGGACAGTGGGAGGTGGCCCTGCCATGGCTGGGGTGGCTCTGGGTGGGCTCTGAGGTTCCCCCAACCCATCCCATGACTTATCCCTGTACAGGAACGCGCTGCTCAGCCCCAAAACTGCCCGCAGCAGGGGTTTTGAAGGGGGCTATTAAAGTTTGAAGGCTTGAGGAAGTAGAGGTAAAACAATAAAAAATAAAACTCTGGATTTGGCGATTCTCCAGAGGCCGGTTGTGCCTCAGGCCTGCACCGGGAGCATCGCCTTGGAACCGGGGCATGACGGGGCACGACAGCCGCGACCCCACGCTGCTGCCACAGCAGCTCCCGACCACAGGAATTGTTATTCAGACTAAACACGACTTTTTTGTTTTCCCTTTAACTTCACCTACGGACCCCAACTCTCCGCGGAGCACCGGCGGGGCGTCCTCAGGGCCGGACAAGCCGTGACATACCGGGACGTGCCGGTGTCCCAGGGGAGCGGCCTGGGGGTCCCTCCCGGTCCCGCTCTCCACCCCGCTCTCTCTCCCCATCCCGTTCCCTCTCCCCATCCCGTTCTCTCTCCCCATCCCCATCCCGCTCCCGCCCCGGTGCCGGTGTCGGTGCCGCCCGGCCCGGCTCGGCCGCACGTACCCGCTCCTGGGCGCGCCGCTTCCGCCTGCGGGCACCGAGCCCCCTGACTGACGCACGCTCTGGCCAATCAGAACCGAGCGCTGCGCATCAGCCGGGGGCCGGGTGAAGGTGCAGCGCTGTGATTGGCCAATGAGGCGCGACACGCCACGAGCCCCGCCCCTTCCCGCTAGGGCGGGAAGGGAAGGGGCGGGGCCAGCGCGCTCCCGCCTTTCCCTCGGGCCATGCCCCCTTCCCCTCGCGGCCCCCTCACGGCCCCGCCATGGCGGCCCCCTCACGGCCCCCTCACGGCCCCTCAGGCCCCACAGCCGCCTCCCACACGGCCATAAATGACCCCCGGCCTCTTCCGCTGCCCCACCGGAACAGCATCATATTGTCAAGCGCGTCCTGTGTTGAAATAGACTCATTTCACCCCTAAATGCTTTTTAAACCTCAGTCCGGTGTCTGGTTTAATGAATCTAAACGGAATTAATAAACACTGGTAAATTCTAATTCATAGGATTAGTCACGGAATGGTCTGGGTTGGAAGGGAACCTACTGGACAAGCAATATGGGGGTAAGAAACATGTCAATAAACTCATCATGAAACATAACCCATCTAAAACAGCAAAACAGGTGACAAAAGACAGACCGTGAATAAAATCTCTGGGCAAAGAGAAGGACTGGATCAAAGTCAGCATTTTGAGGATTAGAGGGTACATCTCACACATATGGAATTAAAAGAATCAGATTGTTCTCAAAGTCTTCTTTTCCTCCTTTTTTAACCTTACATGTACACACTGGTCCATCAAGCCCGGAGACACCACACACCCTGTTCCCTCAGAGGGAAACCTTCTCCCACTAAGAATAAAGATTTATCACTTAGCTATTTTACAAGATGCCCTGCTCTTGCTTCTCCTTTATTCCTTCTCCTCAGAGCCTTCTCTGTATCTCCACGTTCATCCTGAGATGTTACTGCTCTGAAACACAGAAATCCTCAGCAGGATTTTACAGTGCCTAGAGAAGGGAAGAATTTCTTCTCAACACTGAGTTTAAATCTCTATTTCAAGCCATTCCTACTTGTCCCATTAGGCAAGAAACAGATTCCTTACCTTAAGAAAAACTGATACCTCAAATATTGTATCCTCATAATATATAAAATTATAGATGCATATAATTTTTTGTCTTCATATTAAGATGTCACTTAAGCCTTTCAAGCCACAAGATTAGACCAAGATTAGACCAAGAAACGGGAATAAAGAAGGTGTTTTTGGATCTGGGATCAGCAATGATTGCACCCTTTTTCACAGTCATAAAATAACATTTATCAAATTCAAATTAACATTCCAGTGACAGCCAGAAAAATTCCTTCTGAAGCCATTCTGTCCTGGGTTTTCTGTGTGCAGTAGTTGATATTCCTTAGTATTGACTAAACACTACTCTTAAGGTTTTGTGAGCTCAAAACAACAAGATTATAGACAACACTGAACTCCTCTACATACCTGGGGAAAATAAAAGTGGATTTTTATCCCATTGTCACTGTAAATGTTGCAGAAGTGGATTTTTGTGCCTGGCAGCTTTTGATGACATCAGTGCAAGGCTGATTTAAAGTATCTCGGTTAGGTCATAAGTGCCCCATTTAAAACCAAGTGGTTTTAAAAAGAACATAAAAATCCCTCAGTCTGCTGATTCACCCTTTATGGCACCTCTGATATGCAGTGCTGATGATTCTTTGTGAGCCAAAGTGGGTCCCATTTCCTGCAACCTGGTTTCTCCTTACCCTTGTGCCATGAATTTGATTTGCTCCTGAAATCCTCCACTGGATTTGTCTGAATAGCAATTCTGATCCAATTCCTGCAGATCATGAGAATCAAAATTGTGGGGTTTTCAAGAGTATTATGTCAAAGGACCTTCAGAAAAGTACCTTTAATTAACAGTTTTCATTGTAAACAGAATAAAATATAAAAATAAAAAAGAATAAACGATGGAAGTAAACATTCATACACAGCTGCTGGGGCCAGCCTGGGAGAGCTGGGGGTGCTCAGCTGGCCAGGAGAAGCTCCAGGGAGAGCTCAGAGCCCCTTGCAGGGCCTGAAGGGGCTCCAGGAGAGCTGGAGAGGGACTGGGGCCAAGGGCTGCAGGGCCAGGAGCCAGGGAATGGCTTCAGAGTAGGATTTGATGGGATCTTGGGCAGGAATTGTTCCCTGGCAGGGTGGGCAGGGGCTGGGATGGAATTGCCAGAGCAGCTGGGGCTGCCCCTGGATCCCTGGCAGTGCCCAAGGCCAGGCTGGACATTGGGAGCTCCTGGGACAGTGGGAGGTGTCCCTGCCATGGCAGGGGGTGCTCACCAATAAATAAATTACCAAGACCTCTTTCTGTGTTAGAGATGCAAAAATGGACTGGTGCACAGGTACAGTCCAAGCCAACATCCAGAACCCTCCCTTCACAGCCACAGAATTTAACCTTAAAGAGGTGAATGTACTTTTAAAAAATATGCAGGGAACCTGCCAAAAATTCATGAGCTGTAAGTATTGAAATAAGAGTACAAAGGTCAAACAGGGCACAGCAAGATGCTTGCCTCCACTCTGATGTGTTTTTCTTATGCCTCTTTCCCCTTTGAAGCGATAAGAGACTGTAAAAGTGATTACAGTCTTCGCTGAAGTGAGGCATTAATTTGGATTTCAGCAGAAGGAAAATGACCTGCAAGAGAAGAACTGATCTGTTCCTGCTGTGGTTTAACCCCCCAGGGGTGGGGAGGTGTGAAAGGCACAAAAGGTGCTGTGCAAACCCTGCCCAGCAATAAAAACACCCTGGAATGGCTGGCACTGCCTCCAGCCCAAATCAAACACCCAGACTAATGATGACAAAAAATAACTCTACCACAACCCAAACTGGCACATTTAATTTAATAATATTTAAAAATAATGGAGTTATTTGTAATGCAAATGCTCATCACACAACCAAATTTCCTTCAAGTAGGGTGACAGTGTGGATTTCACATTTTCACTGAACCTGAAATTTCTCTAGTGCTATATTTTATTAATAAAGTGCATTCAAAACCTTGATAAGAGGAATTAGCATGAAATTATTTCGGTGTAAGTTTTAACCACTTCAAAAGAGAAGACTTCCACCCAAACCTTTTGCCCTCTTCCCCTTCATTTTCCTTCGTGTCTGAATCAGAAACCTTTTCCACGACAGCCTCGTAAGTCTTTCGTGCTCGGAGGATTTCCTTGTCCAGGCTGAAATGCACCATTTGCCTGCTGAGAATGGGCACCACCAGGTTGAAGTTGTCAACTCTCTTGTTTAATTTCCTGATGTCTTCCTCGAACTGCTCGCAAATCCGACCCCACTGCTTCTGCTCCGACAGCGTCATGGGCTCCCCGAGCTTCCTCCTGGAGGCCACGATGCTGTTCCTCAGCCGCTCGATGGTCTCCCGGATCTCCTTCTGCAGCAGGATCCACTCGGGCTGGTACCCGTTGTCGATCAGGATCCTGTTCAGGTTGTGGGTCATGGGGTCGATGTGGGGACTGTCCGAGAACTTCTGCAAAGGCTTCCCCTTGCCGCTGAGGTTGTCGAAGTCTCCTTTGGCCATGGATTCCTGGATGAGGTCCTCCACCAGCCGTTCCACCGCCTGAGTTATCTTCACCTTCTTGCTCTGCCGCACGTCCTTGGCTCTGCTGAGGTCGCTGCCGGCGTAGCGGCTCTCCAGCCTCTGCTGCCGGTACTCCAGCACCTGCTCGGTGGCGCGGTCCACGCGGAACTGCATGTACTGCTTCTCCCGCTGGCTCGGTGTGCCGATGCCCACGCCCTCGAAGCTCAGGTAGTGTCTGTGCTGCAGAGACTTGGATTTGAACTGGTCCTCCTCCTCCTCCTTGCCGGAGTCTGATTTCTGTTTGGCTGCCAGGTCGCTGAGCACAACCCTGTAGGCCTCCTCCAACCTTATGAAGGCCTTGGAATCGGCCATGCTGGAGCTGCTGTCTGGGTGGTATTTTTTGGCAAGATTGCGATAGGAGTTTCTGACATCATCCATGGAACATCCTTCCTCGAGCTCCAGAATTTTGTAAGAGTCCTTGACATCGTTTTCAGGTTTGTAACCCGACAACATCCTGCAGAGAAATGGCTTCAGCTTCCTTGGGATCATGGCTCCCCGTCCCATGAAACAATGTCCCATGTTGTTAGGCAGCATGACACAAAGCCACTGGGGATTTCTTCAGATGCAGCTACATTATAAAGAACCTACAGACACATTTGTACAAAAACCATGTTAAATATCCTTTTTTCTAAAGAACTTCCAGGGCACAAGTCATATCTTTAGCCTGATATATTAAAGAAATCTCTACTAAAATTCAGCAGTATTTTTTTCCTTTTTCAGACTAATATTGAAATCACAGAATTCCAGAATGGTTTGGGTTAGAAGGGACATGAAAGGCCACCCCATCCCATTCCCAGCCATGGCATGGCAGGGACACCTCCCACTGTCCCAGGAGCTCCCAATGTCCAGCCTGGCCTTGGGCACTGCCAGGGATCCAGGGGCAGCCCCAGCTGCTCTGGCAATTCCATCCCAGCCCCTGCCCACCCTGCCAGGGAACAATTCCTGCCCAAGATCCAGCCCTGCCCTCCTTAAGCTTAAAGTCATTAATTTACATTTCTAATTAATTACTACTGAAATAGTAGTATTACAATGTAAATGAAAATTAATTCACCATTTACATTTTTCTGGTATGACAACAGGAACACAGGTTTATTTTGTGCTGCAGAATTCCCTGGAAGCATTTTTATCACCTTTATTTTTCTATTATTTATTTTATTGCAAAATAAACTTTCACCAAACTCACGCCAGCATAAACTGGAAATAAACTTGATGCTGAGCAACAACTGCTGAAACAAATCCCTCCCTTTTCCTCTGTACCTACATTCAACAATTTCCTACTCCCTTGGATCAAAGCCTCTACGACCTGGTACGTTCTCAAAGGAGGTCATCACAGCACGATTTCGGTATTTCACAGCAACATCTGGATCAGCACTCAGGTTATAGATTCATTTA